AAATAAAAATCACGACGTTTCGGAGGCAACACAAGCTTCCGTCTTCAGGTGGAACCGTCACAGCACGATAGCTGTATCAAGTAAGGGAGCTGTATCAAGTAAGAGAAATTCCAAGAAAACAGTCCTTTCTTGGAATTTATCTCACTTGATACAGCTATCGTGCTGTGACGGTTCCACCTGAAGACGGAAGCTTGTGTTGCCTCCGAAACGTCGTGATTTTTATTTTATTTTTATTTTACTTTAATTAATTGTAATTTTTTACCTACGTGACTTTACCGAAAAAACCTAAGGTAGATAATCTAAAACACAAATTAAACACGGGCACGTAAGCGCAAACACTTTGTTTCATCAAACCCTGTGTGTTTGTTAACATTATAAAAACAAATAATAATAGGGGTTTAAAATTTTGATTTAAAGCTTTCGTGACTGCAGGGATTTATCTTCTTGGTTCTTTTGGTAAAGTCACGTAGAAGGGAAATAATAAAATAATATAAATATAAAAGAATAAAAATTTTCACGACGTTTCGACTGCAACACAAGCAATCATCAGGTGTGAAATCCACAGCAATAATTTTTTTTTAATTTTCTTGCTGTGGATTTCACACCTGATGATGATTGCTTGTGTTGCAGTCGAAACTTCGTGCTAATTTGTATTTTTTTATATTTATATTATTTTATTATTTCCCTTCTACGTGACTTTACCGAAAGAACCAAGAAGATGAATCCCTGCAGTCACGAAAGCTTTAAATCGAAATGTTTCTTTTTCTTACAAGAAGCGTTCGCGCAGAAGACGGCCCGACGAACTTGAGACTCACGATGATGGAAAAAAAACCCAAATCTAAATATAACCAACAACGCAGATTCACGTTGTGAGATTGTTGATTGAAGATACATTTTGAAGGTGATATACGGACGACAAAAGAGAGCCCTTTTAAACTTCGCTTTAATCTTCGCATCTTACTCGCGAATCAAAGCGTGCCTCTAAGGCGGGGGGGGGGGGGGGTGCGCGTGATGTCAGGGATGACTGCTGGGGCTGGAATGCGTGAATTGTGGATAGCAGAGACGCCCTGAGCTTACAGCTAAGCCTGGGTAGGTGCACGCACACGCGTGTGTGTTTTTTTTTCGTCACATCTCAGAAGGAACATGATTCACGGTGGCTAGGAGATGTTAACTACCTCGCCTGGTGTGCCGGAGGTCGTGGGTTCAATCCCGACACTGACGCTTGCTGCTGTATATTTGGAGTTTGCGTCTCTCATCATCATCACGGTGGCGAAGAGTCGTTAACTACATCGCCTGGTATACAGGAGGTCGTGGGTTCAATCCCGACTCTGACGCCTGCTGTCTATTTGGGGTTTGCGTGTCTCTCTCTCATCATCATCACGGTGGCTCGGAGATGTTAGCTACCTTGCCCGGTATACAGAAGGTCGTGGGTCGATCCCGACCCCAACGCCTGCTGTATATTTTGATTTTGCGTGTCTCTCTCTCATCATCACGGTGGCTAGGAGATGTTAACTACCTCGCCTGGTATACAGGAGGTCGTGGGTTCGATCCCGACCCTGATGCCTGCTGTATTTTTGGAGTTTGCATGTTCACTCTTCCCCGTGGTCGCGTGGATTTTTTCCTCGGGCTTCTCCAGTTCTTTCCCTCCATGTTTAGAATCAACATCAACGCGTTGAGATATTTAGGCCGCTCTACATTTCCACGCGATAAGCCGCTTCGTTGAGCTATCATTTGTGGCCAGCTCGCTTCTGAATATTATACAGCTCGGTGTACCTTACCTGGTAAGATAAAATTAAAATAGTATAACACATAGGATTTCGCGATCAATATTATCCATAAGATGTGTTTTTTTATCGTACAACATGTACTCGAATTTACAATTCTCAAATTAACAATTTGAGTACATGTTGTGGGTTTACTCTCCAACACAACGGCCGTGCTGAAAATAGTAACGAATTTGTACATTTTATTTTCGTGACAAACCTCACCAATTGTCTGTGTCGAGTGGTGGCGGGTTTCACGACACATTTACGCGATGTAACTAAAACAAAACCTCTATTTTGGATTTTAAAAAATTGTTGAATAGTTGAGTTTACTTGGAGGCAATAATGACGACATCACCGATGGCTGTGAGCTAGGGCCACTGATGAAGCTTTGCTCGGTGGTGACTCATCTCCGACGAGCACGGTAGGCTCCTGTACGGCGCGAAAGAGGTTCGATGTGCATTGCACACAGACGGCAGAGCGTCGATTCTGCGTTGTAAGAGTCGGGAGTGCGGTCCCAATGGCACGCGGGTCGCACGGTGGCGATGGTCACGCGGGACTCCTCGAACGGAAAGTTCGAAGAATCGGCTTCGTGTGGGAGGGTGGCTAGGAGCTCGTCTTCACGGTGTGAGCCGCGTACTGACCGGTGACACGTGTGTGCGCGCGCGCGCGTGTATGTTGAACTTCTTTCGCACCGTACGCCACCAACCGTGCTATTTGGAGGTGCGGGGGCGGGGGGGAAGGACAACAAACTGAACAAAAAAACGAGTTTTCAATCTCGTGGCTTTCGTAATATCGGAAGGAAGAACGTTCCAGACGGCCGCAGAAGCGCATCTGAAAGCGTGCGATGTGGTGACCATCTTTGTTCGACTGGCTTAGCCAAAAGCCGCTGCTTCTGCGATGACGATGATGATGATGACCGGAGTGTCATGTGGTGGTTTATTCTCCTTGACGAGATCAGCACAGGTGTTGTGCTTCATTTGTGGCAAGCACTTTGTGTGCGTCATGAGTGCGACGTAGCCCGCTCATTCATTGCCAACCCTCGGAGGCAATGCGATACGTTACACATTTCTCCCGATTATTGGTCGCATAACCCTATCTCTCTGTTTAAAAAAAAATCCACTCTACCTGTTTGGCCTCTCGATGTGCTGTGAAGAAGGGCAATTGCCCGAAACGTTGCCTATTATATCATGGGTTTTTCTTTGTTGGGGTGGGGGGGCGGGAAGGAGTTTGGGGATGGGGGTCTCACAGTGTTAGAGGTAAATGCGGTGATTTGTGTTGTTGTTGTAACTTCTGTTCTAACGAAGACTCTTTGGTCGACGGGAAGATACGGAGGAGGACCGATGCGGTTGTCGGCTTGTGTACTGCTCTGTGCGCGTGTTGCCCTGTGCGCGTGTTGCCCTGTGCGCGTGTTGCTCTGTGCGCGTGTTGCCCTGTGCGCGTGTTGCCCTGTGCGCGTGTTGCCCTGTGCGCGTGTTGCTCTGTGCGCGTGTTGCTCTGTGCGCGTGTTGCTCTGTGCGCGTGTTGCCCTGTGCGCGTTTTGAACTTCTCTGGCGCCGTACGTAGTCAACCGTGGCTAATCGGAGGTGCGGAGGAAGGAAGCTAAACACAAAGCATTTCTTAAGAAATTCGTTTTCAATTTAGCCTAGTGATGTAGTTTATAGTAGTGTCGTGCATAGCGTAGTGTGCGCAGTGTGTAGTGTATAGTAGTGTATAGTGTAGTCTATAGCGTAGTGTGGGCAGTGTGTAGTGTATAGTAGTGTATAGTGTAGTCTATAGCGTAGTGTGCGCAGTGTGTAGTGTATAGTAGTGTATAGTGTAGTCTATAGCGTAGTGTGTGCAGTGTGTAGTGTATAGTAGTGTATAGTGTAGTCTATAGCGTAGTGTGCGCAGTGTGTAGTGTATAGTAGTGTATAGTGTAGTCTATAGCGTAGTGTGCGCAGTGTGTAGTGTATAGTAGTGTATAGTGTAGTCTATAGCGTAGTGTGTGCGCAGTATGTGTTGAACTTCTTTCGTACCGTACGTTGCTAACCGCCGTTAATCGAAGGTGCTAAATGTCGGTATTCTCGAGTGTTTGAAACTCATCTCGTGATCATTTTTTTCACAAATTGGCGCAACGGAGCAAACACATTTTTAAAGCAAAAAAACACCTTTATTTATCGACACCGACTGCTGACAAGTAACATAATGCAACGGATACACACCAGGGTAATAATAACAACAACAACAAAAACAACAGGAACGTGTTTAGGATAGGACGCAGATCTACGAGCCAGTCGACACGAATAACGATTATTATTATTATAATTATATGAAGATAAAAAACACAATATTGGCTATTTACAATAAAGTTATAAACAAGTACGCGCCGCGTTATGAACCCATACGGGAGGGATTGATGCCAGCCGGAGTTGTTTGGGTGCTGAACTCTGGAAAATATTCATACGTCGATCAAATTCATTACGCAAAGTCGTGAGACGATACATATCTGGTGGATAAACAAATTCGTCTATTTCCGTTCCGAGTGTTCCACTGTGGACAGGTCACTGTCGAGGGAGTGCACTGCCCGATACGTGTCTAACAAGCCGCGATTCGTCAGTGGCGGTGTTGGTTTGGCAAAGCCGAGTCTGCTGATGAGACCCAGAAGGATCGAAACTAGCCCCAGGCTGTGCGTGCTCAAAACACAATTCTGCTCGTGAGCACAATTAGAGAAAGACCGACGTGGAACGGAGGTATCAATATTCATGCATTGGTATATGAATGTACTAAATATATGTGTGTGTGTATATGAACATCACAATCTATAGTGTTAACTCTCGATCCAAGGGGCCTTGCCATGATATCCTTCCTTGGAATCGGTCGTGGAGGGTGGCCTGCCCCCCCTCTTCTTCCACCCCTCCTCTGCAAGGTATCACTTAGGAGCCCCCGACCCAATGTCCCATCCGCGCAGTTGCACCGCCTGCACGCGCCCGCACGGCTACGCCACTATTCGCTGCGCGTGCGCTTGCGTGACATCGCATCGACACTTAAGCAATTGCGGCCCAATGGGTCACGCTTCGTGAGCACATTACACGGTACAATGATTGCTCGTACGGCATTCCCACCCTCCAACTCCCCACACACCCGGACGACTGGAGAAATTCTGGCCTCGCGTTTTTTTTGTTGTTGTTTTAAAACGCAACCCACCACCGCTACTCCACCCACCCACCCGCCTGCCTGCCTGCCTGCCTGGCCTGCCTGCCACCAACGCGAGGCGCTTTGCACGGCCCACGCCATTCTATGCTTTGCCGTACGATGGGCAACGTGCTCAGGGAACAAGATAAGATTCTGACGGGCGCGACGAGATGGCTTTCAGTAGGGAGCTCGCGTGCAGTTTTGAAATGTCTTCTTCAATCGAAGGGGCGCAGGCTGCAGCAGCCCTTCAGAGAGACTGGTGCGCATTTCTACGACCAAATCACCACGAATGTGCGTCCGATCTCCTCCGAAGCTTTGGAGGTTTCAGCCAGATTCGTACTTGGACGGAGGGCTTCTGGGGAATAGCACACGTATGTAGGCTGGGACTGCAAGGGTTTACCTCGGTATTAAACTGCATGCCACAAATGAGTCGTAATACCTCGCCGATCTCGTGAAGGAGCATCACACCATCACGCGACACTCATCCTCGCAGCAGGCGGATTTTGGCTGCTGCCATCGAACGAAGACGGTCACCGCCATCGCGTGGCGCTTTCAGATGCGCTTCTGCGGCCGTCTGGAACGCTCTTCCTTGTGATATTAAGAAGCTACCGGCGCTATACACTTTTACACGTAGATTACACAACGATTTTTTTTAGAACAGTTCTTTCCGTGTGTTTCAGTTTGGTGTCTTTCTCCCGGGCACCTATAATTAGCGCGGTTGGCTACGTACGGCGCGAAAGAAGTTCAACGTACACACGTTTAAGGTGTCCACGAGATGGCAGGAAAACATTGGATTCTGGCATATATCCCTGCGTGGATTAGTTTTTTCTCTGGGAGCTATCATTTGCGGCCAGGTCGCTTCTGAAAAATAAGCTAATAGCTCAGTGGGCTTTACCTGGTAACAAGAAAAAGTTTACTTTTATTTGTATAGTTTTTAAGTTTTTTGTTTTACCTTTCCTATGTCCTGAACTCCTGTCATGTTTTTGTATCGTTGGTGGCTATGTTCTGACCTGCCCCTACTGGACACCTGTGGAGAAGAGCTTCATGGCTCATTGGATTCCTCCGGTATGAATACATATTCTGATTTTGAGCAAGGGCTCTCCTAAAATCCTAAAAAATTAAAATCTTGACACCAAGTGAAGCTTTCATGGACAAATAAAAAGTTAATTAGCAGCGAGATCGATTCCCTCCCACAGCCAACATCAGCGGTGAGTGAGATCTGAACCAGTCCTGAACCTCGCACACCATCACCGACCCGTAGCGACCAGCGTGGTGAAATATGACAGGGCCTGGGGAGACCTGACATTGTATCGTAAATATAGTCACGTATAGAAGGATCATGTAATATAGAACCAAATATAACAAAAATAATTCCACACAGTGGAATTATATAAGACATGCACAACAAATATGAAAACAAGCCTGTATATACAGTCCTAAGGACATATAAAATGAATGCATTTGACAACAGAGTGGATAAAATATCTGATGTGCCAGCCTTAAATATTACGAATTAACGATGATCATTATCGTCACCACCACCACTTAATATTCTTACCTTGGCCTCCCATGAAATTTATCCCCGACAGAGGGCACCCCCAGTGGCAGCTGTCCCTGGGCGGCACAACGTGAACGCAGCACGTGGCCTGCGAGTCGATGTGAAGTTCGTTCTGGTGGCTTCCAAATAAAGTAGTGCCCATCTCCCCCCCACCCTCTTTACCCCATTGTTCACGTCCACATCCCAACTCACACACACACACACTTCACTAACAAGCAAACTGATCATCGTGGTGAAGTATGGTCAAACAACTCCTACGAGCGACACTGCGGGTGGAAGCCCTTTATGCGGCAGTGGATTGTAAATAAAATAAAACCCATACGGAGCAGAGGTGATACGCCAGTTCGCGTGATAATTAATATAGTTTGCTTCTATTAATTCTGAAGAAGGCGATGATGGAGTTGCTGCTGCTGCTGCTGCTGTTATGATGGTTATCATCGCCGCCGATGACGGCGATGATGTTGCCGATGTTATTACGCCAGCTGCTGAACTGTATTCCGTTATCACTGCTGGTGGTGCTGCTGCAGCTGCTGAATAAGAAGAAGTGACTGATGATTACAGCTACCTCCGCGAACTGATGATGTTCCAGCTACGATTGCTGCTGCTGCTGCTTCCGCTAGCGAAGTTAACCGTGACGACAGGATTTCATCTGTTGCTCAAAGTTAACCGAGTTACCGCCGATAACGAGGTTACTTCTGTAACGACCTCCACTGCTGCTGCTGCTGGCTACCCCCCGTGGCGTCGTTGTCGTTATTGTTGTTGTCATCGGTAAAGTTCATACCCCATTTTTCATGAGACCTCTTTTGCCAGTACCAAAATATACTAAAAGAGGTCCCATGATGTAGCTGCTCACCCCGAGCTCTCATTACTCTGGTAGTGCGTTGTCTTGAACTGTGCGCCTTTTGGCGTCATCTGGTCGAACACCGTATGAGACGAGGCTCCAAAGAAAGCTGTCTCTGGTGTGGACCAATCAGTTTCAAAGACAATGCATTAATGATCAGAGTATTGTTTTTTGTTTGCATTTGACTGCAAGTATTGTGGTTAATGTAAACATGATTCCTTGCAAAAGGTGTCAGTTTTGTTGCCAGAAAAAAGGGGAAAACCCCTATTAGTTTAGTTCATACCCCCTGTCGCATTGCCACGAATATTACCACCGCTGCCCTCACAACCACCACCACCACCACCGCCACCACCGCCTCTCTCAGTCGTTCACCTGCACCGAGATGCATCTGCACTGCTTTACACGCTGCACCCTCTTGCGCCGCACGGGCGGCTGCTGCTCGGGGCAGGTGAGCGTCACGGTGAGGGTGGTGTAGCGGTGAGGCTTGCAGAACGAGCACGACTTGAACGACAGCGACGACGACGACGAGGACGACGACGATGAAGACGCAGCAGCGGCGGCGGCGGCCGACGGATCTCTGCGCGCGTGCCTCGGGATGTAGAATGAGTTGCACTGGCCGTAGCAGAAGCGGTTGATGATGGTGCGTCCGAGGCAGCCCTCCTCGCCGATCGTCTGCTTGAGCGGGTGCGTCTTGCACCAGTCCCTCTTTAGGTACTTCTTCTCTGTCACGATGAGCGCCTCCTGGCTGGACGCCAGGGCGTCCTTGGTGGACGCGAGAGCGGCCCGCCTGCCCGCCGAGTCGTTCGGCCTCGCCTTGGCCGGCGACGGAGGCTCCCCGCCACCCCGAGGGCGGACGCGACGGGCGGTCTCGGGTAGCGAGTCGCGAGTGTCGGACGCGAGGAGAGATGCGGCTGCGGCGACGAGCAGCAGTGGGAGCAGCATCAGAGCGGGGGGGAAGGGCACCCGGGTCGGCATCGCTTGTTTGAGGCGCCGCCTTGTCTGTGGCGGGGTTGGCGTGCGGGGAGACAATCGGGGTTAAGGTGGTTGTGGTTGTTGGTGGTTGTTGGTGGTGATCGTGGTAGTGGTCGTGGTGGTGGTCGTGGTTGTGGTGGTGGACGTGGTGGTGATCGTGGTCGTGGTGATCGTGGTCGTGGTGATCGTGGTGGTAGTGATCGTGGTGGTGGTGATCGTGGTGGTGGTAGTGGTGATCGTGGTCGTGGTGGTGGTGATCGTGGTGGTGGTGATCGTGGTGGTGGTAGTGGTGATCGTGGTCGTGGTGGTCGTGGTGGTGGTGATGGTGGTGATGGTGATGGTTGCGGGCCCATTGAGAGAGCCCTGAACGGAATGTATATTTGTGTACCCCCTACCTCCCCACCACTTTCAATTTATAAACAGCGAGTGAGAAGGATGGAAGATATACAGGCCTGAGAGATAGCGTTGTGGCGAGATGATAGGGCGAGATATATGTGTGTAGTGAATCGAGAGAGAGAGAGAGAGATTCTAGTCACGCGATAGAGATGCAGTGAGATGAGAGATGCAGTGAGATGAGAGATGCAGTGAGATGAGAGATGCAGTGAGATGAGAGATGCAGTGAGATGAGAGATGCAGTGAGATGAGAGATGCAGTGAGATGAGAGATGCAGTGAGATGAGAGATGCAGTGAGATGAGAGATGCAGTGAGATGAGAGATGCAGTGAGATGAGAGATGCAGTGAGATGAGAGATGCAGTGAGATGAGAGATGCAGTGAGATGAGAGATGCAGTGAGATGAGAGATGCAGTGAGATGAGAGATGCAGTGAGATGAGAGATGCAGTGAGATGAGAGATGCAGTGAGATGAGAGATGCAGTGAGATGAGAGATGCAGTGAGATGAGAGATGCAGTGAGATGAGAGATGCAGTGAGATGAGAGATGCAGTGAGATGAGAGATGCAGTGAGATGAGAGATGCAGTGAGATGAGAGATGCAGTGAGATGAGAGATGCAGTGAGATGAGAGATGCAGTGAGATGAGAGATGCAGTGAGATGAGAGATGCAGTGAGATGAGAGATGCAGTGAGATGAGAGATGCAGTGAGATGAGAGATGCAGTGAGATGAGAGATGCAGTGAGATGAGAGATGCAGTGAGATGAGAGATGCAGTGAGATGAGAGATGCAGTGAGATGAGATGAGAGATGCAGTGAGATGAGAGATGCAGTGAGATGAGAGATGCAGTGAGATGAGAGATGCAGTGAGATGAGAGATGCAGTGAGATGAGAGATGCAGTGAGATGAGAGATGCAGTGAGATGAGAGATGCAGTGAGATGAGAGATGCAGTGAGATGAGAGATGCAGTGAGATGAGAGATGCAGTGAGATGAGAGATGCAGTGAGATGAGAGATGCAGTGAGATGAGAGATGCAGTGAGATGAGAGATGCAGTGAGATGAGAGATGCAGTGAGATGAGAGATGCAGTGAGATGAGAGATGCAGTGAGATGAGAGATGCAGTGAGATGAGAGATGCAGTGAGATGAGAGATGCAGTGAGATGAGAGATGCAGTGAGATGAGAGATGCAGTGAGATGAGAGATGCAGTGAGATGAGAGATGCAGTGAGATGAGAGATGCAGTGAGATGAGAGATGCAGTGAGATGAGAGATGCAGTGAGATGAGAGATGCAGTGAGATGAGAGATGCAGTGAGATGAGAGATGCAGTGAGATGAGAGATGCAGTGAGATGAGAGATGCAGTGAGATGAGAGATGCAGTGAGATGAGAGGAAGAGAGACAACACGGGCGAGACGGCGATATCGCGATATCGTGAAGAGACGAATGTCGAATGTGGAGTTCGACGACAAGAGAGAGAGAGATACAGACACGATTAGCGTGCGAGAGAGAGAGAGAGAGAGATAGCTTAGCTGGCTTATCTTTACTTGCATTTGACTGCGGGCATGTGTTTGGTTCTCTCCTATCACCTTCACGAAATCTGGGGCCCTTTCAGCTACTAGGCAGGTCCCGGGTGACTTCGCGCTGCCGAACAAACCCAGAATACGCATCGGAGAGGTCCATTGCAGCGTTTATAGTCTCCTCCAACGAGAGGACTTCGCATTCGTTCTTGACGACGTTCCCTCCGTTCGATAGATTGACCGCCTGTACGCCTCTATTGGCATTCCCTATGCAGGGACGCAGATTTCCCCCGTATAGCCTCGTGTAGTAACAGACTGCTGGGGCGAATGCCGTTATAGAGGAGCGCCTATGAATGCATTGCACGGCACACAAAGAGGGCGGGAGGCCAGACTGCGACCAGCCGCCTTTGTCTCCCCTACAGCGACGTTTACACATTGCAGCGAGTACTCATTTGAGGTTGAGTCGACCTAGGGGAGGCCCAGGACAGATTCAGATACTCGTCACTGGTGGGCCGTGGGCGGGAATCGAACTCGGATCGCCTGATTCTAGATTTGAAGCTTTCGTGACTGCAAGGATTCATACTCTTAGTTCTTTCGGTAAAGTCACGTAGGTAAAAAATGAAATAAAAATTAATACAAATAAAACAATAAAATCACGACGTTTCGGGGGCAACACATGCTTCCGTCTTCAGGTGAAACTGTCACAGCAAAAAAATCTGTAAAAATCTGATACAGATTTTTTGCTGTGACAATTTCACCTGAAGACGGAAGCTTGTGTTGCCTCCGAAACGTCGTGATTTAAAAAAAATTAAATTAAATGTTTTACCTACGTGACTTTACCGAAAGAACTAAGAGTACGAGTATCGGTTCGTCCTGGTTCGTAGCGCAGAGCGTTGACCCACGCGCTATCACATTCCATGCACGAGTTGAGTTGACGTGCAGGAGATCGTGACACAGGTGGAAAGTCCACGTGAGAGCTTTGTTTGTGCATGTATCCTGGCGATTGAAAGATTGCCCATGTTGAGTGCCAATTTCAGTCTCCGAACGAATTGAAAACGTTCCGAAATGAGCTAAATTCGGCTGAAATGTCCAGTGGGGTTCTTTGTCTCGGCGAGAATATAAACATTCGTAAGCTTGACCTTGACGTGCCCGATTACATACGCACAATGTAGCCTGTCTTTAAAAAAAAATACAAAAACTGAAGTATAACGCACTATGGAAATATTTAAAAATTTTATTTATATTCGTCTGCCCCATCGTTAAACAAAATGCTTCAACAACATAGTAGTAGGGTTTTACCCTTTAAACTGGTACAAAACTGACACCTTTATACAAGGCATCATGTTTGCAATAACCACAACACAAGCAGTCAAATGCAAACAAAAAGAAACAACTCTGATAATGATAATAATGTGCACTGTCCTTGAAGTTGATTGGTCCACACCCGAGACAGCTTTCCTTAGAGCCTAGTCTCCATTGGTGTTGGACCAGATGACGCCAAAAGGCGTACAACTCAAAAACAGCGCACTATCAGAGTATTGAGAGCTCGAGGTAAGCAAATACTTGAACAACCTTTAGCCCTTCCTTGACGATTACGAGCAGCAGCGGATCAGCATCTTGCTTAAGCGGGGAGAATCTCTGAACCGGTCTCGACAATTGTGGGGTTTGATCAACACTAGTCAACCTGATTAACCGAGGACCGAAACACTCCCGACTTGCCAGATATTATTGGCAAGAGCGCTCCCGCTAAACAACGGGGCCCTGAATGCAAACAACAACAACAAATAAAGCAGCTGCCACTGATGTCAGCCGTGGGCAGGTACGGAATTAATGTCCACATAACGCAGTGCGCTAACCACTGCGCCATCGCTCACTCTCCATCCCGTGACTCCAATACGCAATTCCATTTTATATATATATATAAAAAAAATATTGAGCGGACGTACCTTGTTTTCGGAGCAACGAAATCTTGTGATGTGGCCGAGCTTGAACCCCGTGTAATGATCGGAGTATTCTCCAGGAACAATACAAATGAGTATTGCACAAACTCTGAACACGCAGCTGCGTGCTGTTGCTTTTCACCTGCGTATTTGCTTCCAAAAGCCCTCTGTGCTCCGTGCTTATAAGTTGACGCTCACTTGCCAACCGATGTTACTGGCTTGAGCTTCACTATATCGTGAGCTGTTTCGCTACCTGTTTGCTCTCTCCGTGTGGCTCTCTCTCGCTTTCTCTGGCTCTCTCTCTCTCGCTTTCTCTGGCTCTCGTGTCTCCGTGAGGATGTTTATATATTCACACACACCACGGCGGAGCATTCAGGAGGACCGTTCTGATTGGTCCACGACTCCCAAAATAATCCCCGCATCGCGCACGAGACGGAACGTAGCGGAGTTGTGATCCCCCCCAGCCCCCACTACCCCCCAGCCCCCACCCCCTCCCCCTACTCACCCCCTCCACCCTCCCCCTGCTGGTTTATGTCGTGAAAAGGGGGCGACTCCTGCAAGACACGAATACACACACACACACACACCCCCTTTAAATACATATATTCACTCCACTGCTTGATCATACTTCGCCTGGCCCTTGCTGGAGCGAACTTTCTGAAGAAAGGACCAGCGTGGCGAAAGGGTCATTGCCCGAAACGTCGCCTATTATAGTTATCCTTTTAAGGCCACACACGCGCGCGCGTGCGCAGCGGTGTTTGACGAATGCTTTTTTTTCAACCTACGTGACTTTACCGAAAGAACCAAAGAGTATGGATTCCTGCAGTCACGACAACTTAAAATCAAGATTGAATGCGTTGTGTTTTATGTTTGATACTCAATTGGTAAATTGTGCGGCGACATGACCTCAGGGTCTACACGGCATCTGTCTTTTCTGAGCCGCGTGCTGTCTCTCTCTTGGAACATAAAAAATTCGTGGCCTTTTTTTCCCCATTCAAACCTCTTCTGCCCACGATATTTACTCAAGAACGTCTCTATAGACAACACCCCCCTCCTCCAGATTCGCTTACCAATTATTCACATCGCCCATTGTATTTTAATTCGCCGCCTTCCACGCCTCCTCGTTATGACGTATCATTTACTACGACCGGCAACCGAAACCACATTCATAGCCAGCGAACGGTTCTTTACGCGTCCACGTGTACGCACGCAAGTTGAACTTCGTTCGCACCGTACCGTTGCCCACGGCGTGCGTAAACCGTACTCGGCTCATTCTCGACGACCATCAAAAGGGCCCGTTCTGGCAAACACCGAGCGATCCCTCTCGTGCCCAGAGGCTCACACGGCGCCGTGTCGAGGGGAGAAGGTTGCGTTGACGCACGTCTCTCCCTGGCGCTTGCCACGCGATGACGTCCGTTCCGCGGAAGCTCGCTTCGTCGCATCGCGAAGCAAACAGATTTCAACGTCCCCGCTGCGCCGAATTAACGCCCCGTTAAGTAGCCCGCTCATCATCAGCACCGCCACGCACCTGGTGGGACGAGTTCCCCCCCCCCCTCTCTCTCCGACACCTCCATCCCCCACCCTCTCACCTTCACCACCCCCTCCCCCCCCCCGCCCTTAACGCTATTAACCCCGTGGCACATCCGTGCTGCAGGGGTGTGCGGCATAACCCATGGGGGCCAGGCACGGATTAATTTTCCACTCGATAACTCGCGGAACGCTGCCGTCGGCGTAGCTTGGAGAGGAGGGATAACACCGGTCAAACAAAAAAACATTTTTTCTGGCCTGGACTTTTGCAGCTGTTTTAGACTAATCTCAGGGTGCCGATTCCAAATCTGATCTCAGATTTGCTTTATCACATCATTTTTATGCTATCGGCATACCCCATTTTTATTGATTTTACCCGAAATTAACTCTGTCACTTATGATTGCAAGTTGTTGCGAGTCAGTGACTGCTTTAGTGTTAAAATATGGTGCTGTATTTTTAGGATAGTGTGTTTATAATATAATTTTATATAGATATCCACATTTATTTAATATTTTTCTTCTGCAATTTTAATTGAAAATGAAATATTTTATATCTCAAAAACCTGATGTGATAGACAAAAACCGATGCCAGATTTGGAATCAGCACCCCAAAATCACCTTAAAACCGTTGGAATACCTTATGCCAGAAAAAGTGTTTTGACCAGCGTAATCGGTTTAAGGCACTACCACGAGAGTACAAGACGCGCTAGTCCAAACGATACACAAAAAACGCTATGTAACCGTCTTGTGAATTGGTATAATCCTCGAGCCTGTGATCACCATCGCAGGAATATATCCATCCTGGATTGGGGACGTGCCAAGCTAATCCTTGGAGCAGCGTTGTGGACTCTTCCGGCTGAAACTCGGCGCTGGGCATATGACCTGCGGCTCCATCTCCTCCTCTGCCGCCTCCGCTGCTGCTGCTTTGCGTGCTTTGTACAAAGGGGTTTTGTTTGATCACTGCGGCCACTGTTGCTGGTTCAAGTACACGGCGATGTGTGTGTGTGCGCCTGTGTAATAGCGAGAGCGGTGGCGCAGCGGTTAGCGCGCTGCGCTTACAAACCTGTGGACCCCCCCCCCTCCCGAGTTCGATTCCGCGCTCACGGCCATCAACACCAGTGATAGATTATCTGAACCGGTTCTGGCCGTCCCCTAGGTCTACTCAGTCTCAAATGAGTACGCGGTGCGGTGTGTAAACATCGCCGCTAGGGGGGGAGACAAAAGCGGCCGAGGTGTGGTGCTGGCCACCCAACCCCCTCGTGTGCCACCGTGCCGACCTTCGTAGGTTCTGCTCGCTAACGGCGCTTGTCCCAAAAAGTGCGATGAGGCTATGAGAGGCATCTTTGTCTTTGTACAATCGGGGGAGCGGTGGCGCAGTGGTTGTTCAAACACGTCATCCGCCGGGCGTGGTTGATATCTTCGAGCGGGTAGACACACAGCTTTATCGGCCACGGAAGGCGAGATGATGATGCGATTGTTCTTTTTTGTTGTTGTTAACGCGCGCGCTCTCTCTCTCTTTCTGTGTCTACTTCGTGCGGCGAGACATCAACTAGGCGATAAAAACACTTTTTATTTTTTAAATGTTACTCGGTAAGGCCCCACTGAGCTATAAAGTTATTTTATTTAGAAGCCACCTGGCCATCACAAATGATGGCTCAACAAGATGGGCTCACCATCGTTGCGTGGAAATCTACATCAGCGTGACGACGTTTATTCTAAATGTGGAGGGGGGGGGGGGACACCTGAGGACCTGGAGAAAAATCCACGCGACCACGGGGAGAGAGACACCGCAAACGCGGCACAAAGACAAATAGCCCCCGTCTAGCCTTAACATACTGTTGGGGCAAGTGCTGTTAGCGAGCACCTATGAAGACCGGCACTGTGGCACACGAGGGAGGTGGGTGGCCAACACCACGCCCGGCCGCCTTTGTCTCCCGAGTGGAAATGCTCACACATCTCACCAGGTACTCATTTGAGACTGAGTCGACCTAGCGGAGGCCCAGGACCGGTTCAGATACTCGTTACCGGTGTTGGCCGTGAGCCGGGAATCGAACTCGGGTCGCCAGGTTCGTAGCGCAGCGTAGCGCAAACCGCTACACCACCGCTCCTAGTTTATAATAAATCAAAGCTCTCTAGCGCCACGCGAATTGTGTTTATCAATCATCATGCGCGTGCAGCGCCTCTCAAAGTGCCAGGGGTGTGTCGTGGGGGGAAACGTTGGTTGAGTGAAATTGCACACTCTATGACAGGAGGTTCGTTGACCACAATAACAAGGGGACATTTTTTCCCGTCGAATTCGGTACAGAAATAACAATTTTTATTTCACGAGCGCGCAATGCGTGTGGTGAACACACACACACGTCAATTATGTCACGAAGGAATCCGTCAAGAGAGCCGCAGGTTTGCCGAGCCCTGCTCTATGGGACGGGGAATGGGTTAAGTCACTGCTCTGTAGGACTGGCATTAGTGTTATGCCTGTAAGATTATGATTTGAACTGTAGTACTGTAAATATTACCCCTGTAGTCATCACCCCTGTCTCTATATTATACATCCTTGTATGTGTACGTATTAGTATAATAGTCAGCCGATATCTCTTTAACGTTTCTTGAACTTAATTTTGCTTTAAAATATATATAATTTTACACTAAGCCGTCGAAAAATAAGCTGCTCAAGCCGACTTACGCAACAAGGAATTAATTATTTGACACCGATTTTTTTAACCTTGTTTTATTACTCGCGTGACGTAATACAATTTTCATTGCGATTTCCCATTTGCTTCATTGCCTTGTGTACTTTTATTTGAGTTATTTTTGCTTTTTGTAAAAAAAAATTGGTGAGTCCGGGTCTCTCTTCCCATGGAGACTTCACATTGAGCATCTCGACTCCGAAACTGGTTATAACCACACACACACACAGACAAACAAACACACACACAACCTTCTGAAGTCACAATACACATCGGTGGGGGCAAATATTGGGCCCACTACAGATGGACGCGTTGAACTCGGATTAAAGGCCTGTGGCAGTGTATTGACCTCGTGCTTAGCGGAGGTTTGCTCAGCGCTTTAAACCCCCTACTTATGCTAATAGTTTAACTACTTCCAAATCGTGGTATCGCAGATGTCCGGTCGCCCTTTGCGGGGCAAGAGAGGGCGATGCTGCCCTCTGGTCCAGTGTTTTTCACTCATTTTCAGAGGGGTGGGGGTGGCTCTTTTACCGATACGACATCAGCAGTGTGTGTGAGAGGGCCGCCACACATTTGAAACCAATGGGGATGAAACATCAGCACGATGCTGATGATGATGATGGGGGGGTGTTGTCACCATCTGTGTATTGTCGGGGTGGGGGGGGGCACGTCAGGGGCCGCGTTAAAGGCCATCAGAGGCCGCCAGTAGCCACGCGAGCCTTGCAATGAAGAACGCCGCTGTCGGCTGGCGTCGTGTGGGACATTTCTGAGCGAAATGTATGAGCGTGACCTTGCTTAAATGATATGTTTGTCATAAGGAGCGACGCTCACAACAACGAGCGAAGCACCGGGTGGTAAAAGCACAGCAAGTTGGTACAGTAGGGGGCACAGGTGGTGCATCAGCCACTCATCTCGGTCATCTCCGTCAGTCGACCCGTGGCACCTGCTGGGTCTGCCCCGTGACCTCCTGCCAGCGGGCGTTCGACACTTCACGTGGCAGCCTCAAGGTGCACATGGCCTGGCACAAGCGTCGTGGTGACATCACCGCCGCTTAGTGGCGAATGGCGGTTGTTGTTGTGTGTGTG